GGCCCCAGGAATGTAATTTTAAATTTTCTTGTAGCAACAGTAAAAAGAAACAGGTGAAATTAATTTTAATAATACATCGATTGTATCCAAACTCCCAAAATACTGTCATTTCAATATGTGATCAATATTTTAAATAAATGAGCTATTTTATTCATTTTTAAACTTTTTTGCATAGTGTATATCTTACACTTATACCCCTTTTCAATATGGACCAGCCCCATTCCAAGCACTCAGTAGCCCCATGTGGCAGTGGCCACCATGCTGGGCAACATTCCACTTGGGAGGGCAGACTCCAAAGGAAAGGGGAATTCCAGCCTGGTGGTAAATCCACAGATTTTCAGGGGCCTTTTATGACGCTTTCTTATTCCTTCTTGCTCCATTAGCTCTAAACCAAGTTAAGGAAAGTATATCATATTTTTAGTCATTCCTGAAGGGGAGGCAAAGCCTAGGGCCAGGCCAATGGGGTTCTGGGCTGGAGAGAGAAAAAAAAAGTGGTGTTCCCACTTGCCCCCTGCTGCTTTAGGTGAAATCAGGTTGAAACACAGGTCAAGGCCTGCTCTGTACAAGGGAAAAGAAATGTCAAAGAATATGTTTGGGGGGAAGGGAAGAGGCTTTGGTGCCTGTGACTGGGGGTGAGAGTGAGGGGATGGGGTTTAAGGATGATATACACACCTGTGCTTCAAAGAACCCTTTCTCCCCATCCTCATCAGCACCTCAGCCTCTTTGGTGACCCATCAGATGACAGCTCAGTTGCTAGCACTGGAGGGTACAAATCCTAGGGAAGAGGTGGGGGTGGAGCCAGGGTTGGCCATAACCAGACCAGATATAATTCCCTAGCATGTGCCATGAAGGGGGTTATTTATCTTTGAAAACACAGAGCACTTTCACTGAAATGTTCATCAAAATTTTGCCAAAGCTTTTGTGATACCAGATTACAGAGATGTATTTAGAAGAGAACGGCATGTCCTCCTACTTCTCAAGAAACATGAAAGCACTACATTAACAGCCCCCAAATTGCTGGTTCTACTGAAAACTTTATCTTCAGAGAATAGCATACGGTATTCTAGTGCAATATTAAGTGTGCATGTATTAGAGAGAAAAGTCAGAAAGTACTCATGAAAATGTTCTCATGAGAATATTAGTTTATTCACATTGGGAGGAAGTGAAATAATGATATGTTGAAATCAGTTAATCACTCATAAATGGCAAAAACACTGTCCTCACCTCCTAGATAAAAAAACCCCACGGGCCGGCTGAGTGGCGCGATGGTTAGGAACTGGCTTGGGACGCCAGAGGGCCCCGGTTTGGATCCCACATGTGAGGGCCAGTGACACTGCCCTCTACAAAAAAAACAACAAAAAAAAACAAAACCACAAGAACAATATAAATTCCATTCAAGGTCATAATCAACACCATGGTCAATTAACAAGTTTTACTGGCAAAAACTGTAATACTGTAATTTGTTTTCCTCAATATTCTTTGTTGACCTGTATGGAATTTGTTATGTGAATGGTGGGTGGTAAGCTCTAAACTTGATTCTTCTCCAAACTGCTCTCCAATAGGCAGGAGAAAAGCTGGTGATATTGCATACAATGGCAAAAAAGACCAACAGCTCCTGGAAACAGCTAGTAGTACTAAATGGAGGCAATCACTTTCAAACAAAATGAGTTCCTTTAAAAGTTTGAATAAAAATTACATTGTAATAAAAATGTACTGTTAAACATATAATAATTAAGTGAAGGTTCTACATCCAGGGACCTAAAAGATATGATAAAATCTCTAATTATGATATAACTATATTTTTTATCCCAAAATTAGTTTGTAATACATATGTACTTCAAAGAGTAAATATTAAGTACAGGCAATAAAATGATTTTTTTGAGTAGGCGTTTTCTTAACTTTGTTATGGACTGAATGTTTGTGTCCCCCCCCCACCTCCAAATTCCTATGTTGAAGCCCTAACAAGCTCCCATGTGATGGTGTTTGAAGGTGGGGTCTTTGAGAGGTGATTAGGTTTAGCTGAGGTCATGAGGGTGGGGCCCCAAGAGAACAGTGTCCTTTTAAGAGGAAGAGACAGTAGGGATCCTCCTCTGGGCCATGGCGGACACATTGAGAAGGCAGCTGTCTGCAAGCCAGGAAGGGGGTTCTCATCAGAACCTGAATTGCTGGCGTCCTAATCTTGGACTTCCGGCCTTTAGAACTATGAGAAAATAAACTGCTGTTGTTTAAGCCATCCAGCCTATGGTAATTTGAGATGGCAGCCCAAGCTGGCTAATACCAACCTTAAATTCTAGTTTTCTCAATTTGAACTGACACTTTGAAGACAGAAAAAATTAATGTGAGAAAAGGTGATTTTACAAGTGATTGAACAGGAAACTGTAAAGCTGCCTGTAATGTTATAATAACACCTTTCTTGAATATTTTTTCAAGAGAAAATACCATTGCTTCCTCAATAATGGTGTCTGTAGCAGGATGAATGTCTACCAGCAGCTCTAGGGACCTGGAAACGTCTCCTATATTTGGTGCACAGGAATGTTTTTTTGATGCTGAAATCTCAACCCCCAATTTTAAATATCTTTCTATTACGTCTTCTACTGCACCTCTCCATTAGAGGTATTAAATGATATATATAATTCCATAATTTTATTTATGTTCTCCTTTGCAGTGAAGCCACGTTTGGCCTACTTAATTCCCATGAGCATCTGAAAGTGGCTAAGGATTCTCCACAGATGCTCAGTGGTTTCTAGATTTGAATTAACAGCACTATGAGATAGTAGATTTTTCTATTTTCCACTTTCTTTTTCCTAAAATAAAGGGAAAATTCAATAATATATTCAAATGGTGCTGCAAATTGACACAGCTGCCTAAAGTGAATTACTAGCTGACACATAATGTCATTATGTAATGGCTTGAAAAGTTTGATCAAAAGCATTCTTACGAAACATAAGAATGTATTATAGAAAGGATGCTTTAAGGCAGTGGCTTTCATACCTGACTGCAACCCACAACAAGAAATATATTTAATACTGAGACTCAAGTACACACAGGGAAACGAAAGTCTCCTGAAACAATACTTACCCTCATTTTATATGATGTGCTCTGATTTTTAAAATTCTATTCTATTCTCTTTATGGCCTACTAAGACAAGAGCTATAAAACTGTTCATACCATCTTGGTAAATATTCTGGATAATAAGCCACAAGTAAATAGCCCAAATGAACAACATAATTTATATAAAGATATTCAATTGAGAAATACTATAGAGCAGAAAAACTAAAACCACACAAATGTAAACAAAAGGAATGGCTAAGCAAACCGATATATTACACAACAGAATAACTATAGTTGCTATTCAACATGGTAGGTGAAATAATAATAAGCAGAATAATAGGAAAAGGTACACAGAAAATGGAGAACATAAAAAAAGTATCTACAAATATTTGTATTTTGAAAATGCGGGGAATGTGAAGAAACAGAAATCTTTTCCTATAAAGTTAAAAAAACCAGTTCTGACCAATGTGGAGGTCTTGAGCCTGTAGTAAAACTACTCAGAGGAGATTCTGGGTTAAGGATTGGAGCTTTCCCTAATGTAATCCCAAACTTTCCTGTGATAAAACGCTTTTAAATTTTAATTATAGTAGTGTATAAACTGTCATCCTAAGGTAAAAACTACCTTCCCACAAACTGGGTCATCTTATAACCCCCTCCTCATTAGCTTGTACCTACAACTGTTGTTGCTGCACAGCAAGCAGTGAAAGGGCAGAGGACATACCTAATATCCCCTTCAACACGGGTCCATCACCTGGCCGCCTGCCCAAGGCAGCCAAGTGGCCCTTGTCTGGCAGCAGGAAACCTTCCTGGTTGAGGGCAAGATTCCACTGAGCTGAACCATCCTGAGAGAAAAGTCGTTTAAGCCCAAGCAGTGGAGGGCTGTTAAAACATGAGCTGAGATGCTGGGAGGCTTCCCATACTCGTTTGGCTCTCTTAAAGGAGACATCACGTGTGTTTGGGGCAGAGTCTCAGCTGAGCCCAGTTATTCTGTACAACAAAACAGGGAACCTTCTCAAGGGCACCAGAAGTCAAATTTACAAGTTTTAAGGATGTGATGTACAAGCCAATGAAGCCCTAAGTGTGCACTTACTTTCCGCAGCACATGTGATGCTTATCGGGCATGCCCAGGCCCAGGACAAGGACACAGTACTTCTGCGCCAAGTATTTCTGTGCTGCTTCTAGCTTACTTAAAACCAAGTCCAGCTTCTTTTTCTCGACAAGGCCTCTGAAAAGAAAAACAATAATTTGGACTAATTTTGGCAAATGCATACATTAATTAGCGAAAAGTCCGAAGTATAAACTATTTTGAAAGAAATAAAAGTGAATGGACACAACTTATACTTTATTCTATTCAAACTGTGGCATTGGGAGGTCCTCAAAGTCCTTTGATATTTAGCATTGTCATCAGCATCTCAATTTATAGCGAATTTTCGCTTTTTAAAAATAGATTCTTTAGGGCCGGCCGAGTGGCGCCATGGTTAAGAATAGGCTTGGTATGCCAGAGGGCCCCGGTTCGGATCCCACATATGAGGGCCAGTGACACTGCCCTCTACAGCTAAGATGCTGAACAACAGCTCGACCTGGAGCTGGGCTGNCTTAGCTGTAGAGGGCAGTGTCACTGGCCCTCATATGTGGGATCCGAACCGGGGCCCTCTGGCATCCCAAGCGAGTTCTTAACCATCGCACCACTCGGCCGGCCCCCCAAAACAAGCCATTCTGATTCTGATGCCCAGCCTTACGAAAGCAGGCATGGCCTGGGGAGGACTTGGAGTTGACAGAGAGGGCTGTGCACCTGCAGTCACCTGATCAGTCCTGGGAGCCAAGGCCAGATCCAGGGCACTCCAGGGTTGATTCTGGGTTTGCTTCTGCTTTTGCTTGGGCCTTCCTTGGAGTAACTGACTTAGGATCGGCCCTGGTATCAGGATCTCCAAAACCACCATGAACCTGCATGGTCGGGGGAAGGTGACCCAAACCTCTCAGGGCCTTCAGTCTTCTCACAGGGTCTTCGTGATCTGTATGGGCACAAACTAGACCTCCATTTTGGGGAACCACTGAAGAGGTGGTTCAGCTTTTACTGGGGCAGGTCCCTCCCCTCCTGTAGACTCTTCATTTACACACTGGTTTCCTCCTATGCAAGTCTTCAACAAAGAATTAAGACAATGGTAGTTACAGTGTGGACTATGTACCAAGTACAATGCTAAGCCCTTTACATGTATTATCATAGTTAGCTCTCATAAATCCCTATGATTCTTCTTCTTCAGCATGATTATTCCCACTTTACAGGTGAGACTGAAGTCCAATGACACATTTAATTAGGGGGAAAGCCTGTACTAAACTCAGGCCCATCCAAGGTCTATATTTGTCCTTATAACCAGAATGCTAGGAAAACAAGCCTTTTCTTTAGCATATTTTTAAACTAATAAACAACAGAGACCAGCAGAAGCTTTTCAGGACAAGCCTCTGCATCCTTCGGTGTCACCTGAAGCCTCCGCCTGACAGGCGTGTTTATGTGGTCTTTTCATCATTCCACAGCCTCTGCCAGCTGAAACCAGAGACCGTGCAGACCTGCCAAGCTGAAGCAAAACCCAGCCAAATTCTGTTTTTGGAAGACCAAGTCAGCTTGTGTTCTGGAAGGAGGTTCAGAGCAGCAGTTAGGTTGTCACAACCCAAACCAGCATCTCAGCAAGGTTTTGAAATGACAGAGTGACTGCCCAGGACACACGCACTTTCTCTCCTTTACTTTTCTTTCTTTCATTCTTTTTTTAAACAGAAGAAAAGCTACCGTGAACCTCCTCCCCTTTTCCTCAAGTTGCCATAAAACTGAGACCTCTGTCTCTCTTAAAGCCCAAAGTAAACTGACGCAGTCCACACCGCAGAAGTTAAGTACAGAATGTAGTGGGTTTCTTCTTAGCATTCTGACTTAAGTCTGCCTATGAAACTGAAATGGCTCTAGGTCCTAGACTCTAGGAAATGGAGGCAGAAAATGAGTACATTTGGGAACCACATAGTTTAAATCTGCAAATTCATCTCTGGCTGGTGAATCTTGAATTGTTTTTCTCTTTTTTAAATTTTATTTTATAATTTTTATACTAAGTACAAAATAATTATAAATTGAGTATACATTTAGAAATATACTGAATATAAATAATAAATCCAAGCCCCCCAAATCCTCTACCAATTGAAACATGGTTTGTAACAGCACAATCCAATAGAAATGCAATGCAAGCCAGAAATGTAATTTTATTTTTTAATTTTTATTTTTTTTAAAGATTTTTATTGAGGGATGGGAACAGTGCTGGGGAATTGGGGGAAGGGGAACAGACAAGTTGCTGTCCTTT